CTCCTTAATTCTTACCGGCTCTAGATACTGCATCTAGATTTCAGGGTAGTAAGCAGGTTTTATGGTTAGAAGGTGGAGCTTTTGCTCAGAAGCTCAACTTTTAGCAATAATTTCACAGTTCAGATGGGGCTTCCCCAAAACAAAGATACAGTGTCTACCTATAATTAGCCTATGGGTCACTTGAAGTTTAGATTGTTGCTTAATTATATTTGGAAAGTGATGCAGCTTAATAGTATGCATTAAGTATATTTCTTATTAGTATTTATTTGCATTTTATTTATATTAGAATTCAGTAGGATACAAGTTATGTAAATAATAGTGATTCTATCATGTATTATTTAGCATCCTATCTGACCAAGTGCACAACAGGACTGTGAATATTCAAAAGGAAAAAAAAAAGGCTTTGGAAAGACCCTCACATAGCACTGGGTGGCAACACCTTAAATCAAATATGTCTTTTCCTGGGACTGCTTTGCAGCTGCAGAGAACAGGTCCTGGGAAATGGCATTATTACTTTAAGGCACAGCCCACAAGTGCTACCTGAGTGCCTCCATGCCCTCTGAAATACCTCCTTCTCTTGGAAACCAAAGTGCTACACAGCCCTAATATCTAGCATATTGATACAGTTTGGAATGGAATAACTGAAATAAAGCACTTTAAAAAAAGACAACAAAGAAATGGAAGAGATTTAGCTTGGGATCTCTCTCAGTTATAGAAACAGGACTTTTTTCTCCTAAATTGATTACATCCGGATCATATATTGATGAACTCTTCAAAAACAAAAGAGCTACTTCTTTTCAACTGCAACTGTAATCAATTTAAAAAATATATTTTAAAAAATAGTATCAACACTGAAGTTAAGAGCATGCTTACTTTTTCCTTAAATACAGGAAGTATGCAGTTTTTTCTCTACCTTAGTAATATACCTAAAATAACTTCAGAATATAACCAAGTTATGATATAAATTTTATACAATGAAACCAACTGATAGCTATAGCTTTCAAATGGAAAAAAAAAAATATTTTCTGAGAAGATGAAGCTTCCATTTGATCATAAACCTGTGTTATTGTAATATGCATTTTAATATATCTTAAGAAAATAGGGCAAAACTAGGGTAACACAGTACTGTTTGCATGGGCATGGCAATGAACCTTCTAAATATAAGTATATTTGCAATCTTAAAAATTGTAAGTTAAAAATGCTGCCATTATTATTATTATTATTATTATTATTATCTGGAGAGAACAAATTTTTGCTAAACTCATCAGCCATAATACATTCCAAACTAGCAAACAACTTTGGGACTTTTACAATGTAGTTGTGCCAAAGAATGAAATGGCTCCCTTGAGATTTAAACAAAATTGTGGGTGACCCCAGGAGGTCCAATAATTTCATATTGCTTTTAAGACAATATATTAAGAAGCCAAATACATATTTCTGCCACAATAAAATATATGTACATTCATCATAACTGATAAAAGAATCTGAGTAATTTTTAGTGCTACTTCTTGGTTATATTAACTCAGTATGGTTAATTCACAAGAGAATTTTATCTTTTGGCAGGAAGTAGATTTCAGGAAGAAAAAGAAGCAATTTTCAGTAGAAGAAAACACTGGGAACACTAAAGAAGAGATGGAATACAGGTAGTCCTTGCTTAACGACCACAACAGGGACTGGAAAATACAGAGTGGTTAAGCAGAGTGGTCATTAAGCAAGGCATCAAGTGACTTCATCCGATTTTACAACTTTTTTGTGGCAGTCATTAAGTGAATCTCTGCAGTCATTACATGAATCATGTGGTTGTTAAGCAAATCACATGGTTCCCCATTGATTTTGCTTACCAGAAGCTGGCTGGGAAGGTTGCAAAAGGCGATCATGTGACCCCAGGATGCTGCAACCATTGTGAGAGCTGGTTGCCAAGTGCCCGGATTGTGATCACGTGACCTCAGGGGTACTGTGACGGTCATAAGTGTGAGGACTGGTTATAAGTAGCTTTTTTCAGCGCCGTTGTAACTTCGAACGGTCGCTAAACAAATGGTTGTTAAGCAAGGGCTACCTGTAATAGAAGAGTAGATGTAGGGTTTCCTTTTACAGCATAGGAAAATGTGTGCAAGAAGTAAAAATCATACTAAAAGAAAGCAAAGTAGGAAGGGAAGCTAGAACTAGAAACTACAAGAAAAAGATAAAGCTGCAAGTATGAGGAAAGATTAAAAGAGATCAGATAGAAGTTCTCTTCTTTCCTTCAGCACCTCTGAGAGTCTTCTCTACTGCTCAGTCTGTCTGCCCCAAAATAGGTTATTTTTGTCCTTCAGTCTTATTTCAGAATCAACAACCCCAGTTTCTATTGCAGCAAGAGAAATTCAGTGGCAAGGACATTTATGTTCTCACTTTGTATGGAATATAAAAATGAAGAAGGAGAACTTACCTGCTTCCAGCACTCCTGTTGGAGAATTACTGGAAGAATCTGCATTGGAAACAAGATCAGACAGTTTTATGGCACCATCAGAGGGAGTGCGCCTATGCTTCTGTTGCTGGGCTTCAGAAGAAAGAGTCACATGTGTAGGTGTCAAGGACTGGTTGGGATTCTGTTTGAATCTCTCAACTCGGATATTAACTAGTGGGTTACTAACTATTGGTAAGGGAGCCTTCACTGTCACAGGACTAACAGGCATCTCATATACCACAATTTCATCACTGTCTGAATGAAGTAAGGAACGGGTAGAGTTACATTCAGAAATTGAAGACAAAGAGAGTAGAGTTAGAGAACTGGATGGCTCGCCCAACAAGAATGTGGGTTCCTCTTTCTTGAAGACCTTCCTTGAAGGTGGGCTTGTACTCCTCCGAGAGAGACCAGCCCGTTGGAAGATGCTTTCACGCTTCTTCTTTTCTTCCTTGGACACGTCCTGATCTTCCTGGGTTAGCAGCTGGCACTTGCCAGCCTCCAAAAGGTCAAAGCCTAGGCCAGCAGCAGCCAGCACAGCCCCACAGCCTAGAAAGGCCAGCTGACACTGTTTATACTGGGAGCCCCCACGTTTGAGGCTGTTGGTGGGAGTTAGCTGAGGAGTGCTTGTGGAAGAGTTCATAGGAGTAGTCTCTTCATTAGGATCACTGGACTGGGCATCCCAATCGTCGTTCTTCTGAAATGGGATGCAGAGGTATGATTGGTTAAATCCAGGGGACTGCTGCACCTTGCTTTCTCTGTCATTCAAAGAATCATTGTCTTCATTGTCTGAAATACAGATGCACACACAAAAAAGCCTTTTAACATTTATATTATAAATATGTATTGGTTAACTTTGCCATGTGTATATATCTTAAAACACAGTAATACAATAGAAAATTGAGTTTGAATTTTAATACAGTACAGAATATTGAAACTCTGTCCCAAAGAGGTGCTGCAAATGGGTACTTTTCATTTTACAAATCCTCTATTCTTTCTTAGGCAACTATACTGGCTCAAATATTTTTTTAAAGATATACAGCAGTTCTAAGAAACTTGTGTTTTGCAGATGGTTGTCTAGGACGGAGGTGATATTCAACCTGTTCTGGATAAGGCT